CCTTCCTCCTGACCTCCTTGCCCAAAACGCTCTGAATTCTTTGGAAAGAATTCAAAAAGACTGGCCGTCTTCAAGCAGCAGTTGGACGAACACTTATCAGGGATGCTGTAGGCCAGTGGTGGCGAACCTATGGCACGGGTGCCAGAGGTGGCACTCAGAGCCCTCTCTGTGGGCACTCGTGCCATCGCCCCAGCCAGGCCCAGACCATCATTAAAGTGTCGAATTCTCTGCCAAATAATTTTAAGTAAATGAAAGCATTTGGGATTGCTTTCCTTACTTTGTTTGGATCATCTTAAATTAATGCATGAGTTGCTTTTTCTAACGTAAAACCTCAGTATTCAGGTTAAATTGCCGTGTTGGCACTTTGTGATAAATAAGTGGGATTTGGGTCGCAATTTGGGCACTCGGTCTCTAAAAGGTTTGCCATCCCTGCTCTAGGCTGATCCTGCCTCGAGCAGGGGGTGGGACTAGATGGCCTGTGTGGTCTTTGGAAACCGGGTGATTGAAAGTGGAGCAGTAGGTTCTGAAAAGCCCAGCAGTACTAATTGGCACACTGCCTTTTGGCGATGGAATTTTGGGCTTCCTTCGGGCATTGTAGCTGTTGTGCCAGGGAGTTTCCGACTCGACAGTGCCTCCTGTCCCCTCTGCTGCTGCTCATGAGATGTGCTGCCTTTTGAATATGGAAGCAGCCCTGCAGGAGTGGACAGCCATAATTTTTGGCGCTGTCCCCATCCATCTCAGCCCGGATGAAGCCTTCAGATTGAGGAAATCCTCTGAAATAAGGTTTCTGATCTATGCTTACCTGCGTGTGCTTGAATGGGCATTGCAGCTCAGGGAGCTAAGTTCCCAAGGGGCCTGCGGGGACCCAAGGAGCTGCCGTCATCCAGACTCCAGCCTGGACAACCCCTGAAGTGTATCGACAATTGTGCTGTAGTCTTTTTGAGATTCAGACCCACTCGTCACCTGGCCAGATGCCATGTTGAGCTTTAATGCGCTAGGAGCAGGTGCTTTTCAGTGCAGGACTGTGACAGATTGCGCAGGGCCTCCTTCTGGCATTCATCCATCACATCATAACTCCTTTGATTCAAAACAAATTGGATAGTTTCTCTCCCCCCCCCACACACCCCCTGTAACTATCAGAGAGTCACTCGGCATAATTCTTTCCCCCCCTCTACTGAGGAATAAAAGACAGAAACTTTCTCCAGGGTTCCCAAGTTTGCATAGGCCTCGTGACAGCCACTGAAATGTCAATTGGTACTGTACTACTATGGAGCTGCGGTGGCTCAAGTGGTTAAGACGCTGAACTGCAAGCTGTGGAAGGTCAGTAGTTCAGCAGTTCGAGCCCCGGGTGCCGCAAGACGGCGTGAGCTCCCGTCTCTAGTTCCAGCTCCTGCCAACCTAGCAGTTCGAAAGCAAGAAATTGCAAGTAGATAAATAGGTACCACTTCGGTGGGAAGGTAACAGCGTTCCGTGGCGCCTTGGTGTTTAGTCATGCCGGCCACATGACCACGGAAACGTCTTCGGACAGCGCTGGCTCTTCGGCTTTGAAACGGAGATGAGCACCGCAACCCTAGAGTCGGATTCGACTGGCTTTCGAGCAAGGGAACCTTTACCTTTACTGTACTACTGGGAGGAAAGGTGGCATGGTACAGCCCGATCTCGGAAGTTAAGCAGGGTTAGCCGTGCTTAGTACCTGGGTGGGAGACCTCCAAGGAAAACTGCAGAGGAAGGTCCTGGCTAACCACCTCTGCTTCTCACTTGCCTTGAAAGCCCCTTGCTGGGGTCACCATGAGTCAGCTGCGACTTGACAGCTGGTTCAGATTTTGGCGGCCAGACTATCCGGATCACGCCTCTTTTAGAAACAGCTGCGTTGGTTGCCAGTTTGCGTCTGAGTTCAGTTCAAAGTGCCGGTTATAACCTTTAAAGCTTTTCACGGCCTAGGACCTGCATATCTGAGGAACCGTCTCTCTCCTTGCGTGCACCAGTGACGGACTTCTAGTTGCTGCTTTTTAGTTGTGGTTAGAATTGTCAGCGGCCTCGAGCCACATGGAAAAGGTGGGGCATAAATATAAATAAATATAATTATAAATCGGGGTAAAAGGTAAAGGTAAAGGTTCCCTTGCTCGAAAGCCAGTCGAATCCGACTCTAGGGTTGCGGTGCTCATCTCCGTTTCAAAGCCGAAGAGCCAGCGCTGTCCGAAGACATTTCCGTGGTCATGTGGCCGGCATGACTAAACACCAAGGCACACAGAACGCTGTTACCTTCCCACCGAAGTGGTACCTATTTATCTACTTGCAATTTCTTGCTTTCGAACTGCTAGGTTGGCAGGAGCTGGAACTAGAGATGGGACCTCACTCCGTCATGCGGCACCCGGGTCTCGAACTGCTGAACTACTGACCTTCCACAGCCTACAGTTCAGCGTCTTAACCACTTGAGCCACCGCAGCTCAAGGGGGGGGGGTCATGTTAATTTTCTCCGTTTTTTAAAAAAAATATGTGTGGGTGTGAGTGCACTTGGAAGACATGGTGACCTCTGGTGACTGACCCCTACCGAGGGCCTGGAGGATATTCAGAGAGGTGGCTGAATAAAGCCTGCCCCCGCCTCCTGCCTCTGGTATTCCAAGGAGGTCTCCCATCCAAGTACTTGCCACAGTCGACCCTGCTTAGCTTTTGAGATCTGTGAACTTGGAGCTTGTGGCTGGGCCAAGCAGGTCAGGGCATTTCCTCCTGATTTTTCAGTCATAAGGAGGAGTGTATTTTGTATTATTTATAGTAATAGGACAGGGTGAGAAATGTTTCTTTCTAGTTGCCCTGTTGACCAGAAACTCTGCTTTGCATGCAGAAGGGTATAGATCAATCCCTAGTTGTTCCCCTGGAACATAAGAACATAAGAAGAGCCCTGCAGGGTCAGACCAGTGGTCGATCTAGTCCAGCATCCTGTTTCACAAAGTGGCCCTGGAGGGCACACAAAAAGGCCAAGGCTCTCCCTGGAAGCCTCCTAGTAGTGGTTTCAGGGGGCTAGTACTTCTGAATATGGAGGTTCTGTTTACTCACCTCTCCCCTATGAACCTGTCTGGGGAAAACCCTGGACAGTTGCTGTTAATTGGAGCAGGTAAGGCTGAGTTTGATGGGCCAATGGGCCTGATCTATAGCCGCTTTATATCCTCATGTGATATTTGTGTGCAAATCTTCATGTGTGCAAATCTTCATGTGATATTTGTGTGCAATGGCCTGATCTATAGCCACTTCATATCTTCATGTGATATTTGTGTGCAAAGTTCAATTGTGTATACTCACATGGGGCTGGACCCCATGGATCTATTCTGGTAGTATCAGGGGAAGGGGTTTTTTGCACCACAGGGAAACACCATTGCTCATGGACCAGACTGATGGGATCCTACCCAATGCATGTGTAAAGTGCCTTCTGGTCCCAATTGACTTATGTCAGCCCTGCAGGGTTTTCAAGGCAAGAGATGAACAGAGGTGGTTTGTCCGTTGCCTGCCTCTGCGTAGCAGCCCTGGAGTTACTTGGCGGGGTCTCCCATCCAAATACTAACCAGGGCTGACCCTGCTTAGCGTCTGAGATGGGGCTAGGCTGGGCTATCGAGGCCAGGGCATCCTACCCAGTAACCATCAGTCATAGGAAGGATGCCACTATCTTCTGAGCATGCTATGCTAATTTAATTCCGCTAGTCTATTGCAGTAGAAATCCATTGCTTTTGTTGAGGCCTAATGAGATCCCGTCGCGCTTCCTTAGGATGTCTAATTGAGAAGTTTCGTGCTGGAATCCCCCTCTGAAGTGTTGTAAAGAATGGCAAATTCCACACAAGTCAATCGGTGCCATGGTAGTCACCAATGTTCCCTCTAAGCTGTGGAGTCTTGTGAGCAAAAATTCTACTTTGTGAGCTATTGGCATTAAAGTGGGATGCCACTATCTTCTGGGACATGCTGTGCTAATTTAATCCCGCTAGTCTATTGCAATAGAAATCCATTGCCTTTGTTGAGGCCTAATGAGATCCTGTCGCGCTTCCTTAGGATGTCTAATTGAGAAGTTTCATGCTGGAATCCCCCTCTGAAGTTTTGTAAAGAATGGCAAATTCCACACAAGTCAGTCGGTGCCATGGTGGTCACTGTGTTTACTTTGCGTACATTTGATCTTTGCAGAGAGATGTTGCGGGCTGGACCACTTGCTTCCCATGGCCTTTTGACCCACTTCGCTCCGACCCTATATATCTGCCTGTCAACGACCTACTTCTTGCACCAGGTGGGGTGGGCTCCATCCCTCCCAAGTTTCTGCCACAATGAACCTGTTAATTTTCATCCGGCAACATGAGATCTTTCCTTATTTCTTTTCCCCCAGTAGCAGACACAGCAGGGCTACCCCTCTGTAATGAGATACAAATTGGACACCAGGGTGGTGGGAGGCCGAACAGCCTCACTACCCCGATCCCCTTTGTCTGTGGACTTTCAGCTTTAATTTCTGCCAAAGGGTATTTACTTTAGAATATTGGGTCACACGAATTCTCCAGCAGTGACACCAGAAAGAGATGCAATCCAATTAAAGCTATTTCTAAAATGTCCTTGGGGAGGATGGAGATGGGGCCCCAAAAATCCTACATTCTCGCTGCGGGAAATAGATATCGCCTGTTTCTGCTCTTTGTCAATAAAGTCCTTGAGAAATTCATCACAAATGGAAGGAGAGGGTTATCCCCTGTGGCAGAAGCACGGCGCCATAAATAATGATGGGATGATGTTTCCAGACAGCAGCTTAGGACCGCTCCCCCTTTCTCCAGACCACCCGCCCTTCATGCCAACTGGAATAACTAAAATTGTGACCGCACACCGATGGACGCAACGGCTTCCACCAATCGGTGTTGCCAAAGAGGCACAAAGCGCTAAGGGCAAACTGATATAAAGCCCCCACTCTCCTCATCCATCAGAGGAAGCCTTAGGTGAGGAGCGGAAGTCTGTCCTCGTCTTTGACTTCGGAGTTCAGCACCATGGCTAGCTCCAGGCTCTATATCCTCTGCTTTGGGTGCTCTCTTCTCTTACTCCTGGGGGCTTGCGAGGAGTCGACAGAGATCAGGGGCACGGGGGATGGAGCTGATGAAAGCCAGGAGGAGAAAGAAATGGTAAACGAGGTGGGAAGAGGAAATGGAAGGGAAGCGTCTTGGGCCCAGATTTCTCAGTGTTGCTGTCTGATGCTTGTTTTGCAAGATGTCTTTGTGTTATCTGGTTTTAGTTTTTGTTTGCAAGCCTGTAGGCAAGGCCTGCTCCCCCCCTTTCTTTCCTAACGCTTATAATGAATATCTAATAATATAATGTCTGTAATAAATTTGAGCATGTCACATTTGGGTTCTGTTCTACACTGGAGCCCTTGGGGATCCTCGCCACTGTTCCTAAATTGGTGGAGAGGCTTCTCTGCTGAGATGCAGGACTGGGCAGTTCTTTCTTTCTTTGGTGGAGAGAGCAGGAGATTGTTTCAAACCATGATGAACTAGAAGCTGTAGAGACCCAGGTTCAAGTTCCATCAGCTGTGAAGCTCATTGAGTGATCTTGCTTGGTCAACTCCCCCTTGGCTTAACTGACCTCAAGAGCCAGTTTGGTGTAGTGGTTAGGACTGTGGACTCTAATCTGGGAGAACTGGGTTTGATTCCCCACTCCTCCATATGCAGTTGCTGGTGTGACCTTGGGTCAGTCACAAGTTCTCTCAGAGCTGTTCTTTCAGGAGCAGTTCTCGAAAGAGCTCTCTCACCTACCTCACGAGGTGTCTGTTGTGGGGAGAGGGAAGGGAAAGGAGATTGTAAGCCGCTCTGAGACTCCTTCGGGTAGTGGGTATACATCCAATCTCTTCCTCCTCTTCTTCTTTTGAGGGAAAATAGGGAGAACCTCCCCCCCATCTGTTACTCTGTGCTTCTTTGGGAAACGGTGGGATATTAGGTTTATGTGGCTTTCTTTTTAGCACCCAGTTCAAATCATCTTATTCTCCCAGGGGCAATTATTTAGGAGAATGGGGTATGATTCAAGAAGGCCCCAGAACAAGTAAGGCCTCTGTCCCAAACTAGGCTGGTGAGATTAAGTAAATCATTATAACAAGACAATGTAGTGGTACCATGCTAAACACTGAAATGCAATTTGAATGGTCAATGTTACCAGTTCAGTTGTAGCTTGGTTGTCCTCTCTTTCACCTGGTTTTTCTAACTGTTTTTAAGCTTGGTTTGTAGACTTGGTGGGGAGGGAGTTTAACTGCTTAAATACAGTAATTATCTTGGAAGTAGTTTGCTTGACAAAACGTCTGGGGTATAATCTAGCCACTTGGAATCCTGTCGTTTTCAGTGGAAGAAATCTCAGCATGGTGTAGTGGTTAAGAGTGGCGGACCCTAATCTGTAGAATCCCCCTCCTCCCCAGGAAGCCTGCTCAATGACCTCGGGCCAGTCACACTCCTCTTAGAAGTCTCTTAGCTCCACCGATCTCACAAGGTGCCTTTTGGTTAAGCCAGTGTAGTGTATTGGTTAAGAGTGGCGGACTCTGCTCTGGAGAAGTGGTGTTTGATTCCGCCGCTCCTCCACATGAAGTCTGCTGGGTGACCTTGGGCCAGTCACAGTTTCTCTCAGAACTCTCTCAGCCCCACTTACCTCACAAGGTGCCCGTTGTGGGGAGAAAAAAGGGAAGGCGATTGAAAGCCACTCCTTAAGGTAGAGAAAACAGGAGTATAAAAATCTACTCTTCTTCTTCTTTCTCTTTGGCTGGATTGTGGGCACTGTTGGCCAATAATGCCTTGCTTGATTCTGGCTCCTCTCCTTTCGCCTTTGTTGTGCTGGTAGATGCTGTTCCCTGCTTTCTGCTCTGACGCTATATTTATTTCAGCATGAAAGTGCTGGACGTTTGTACTGTAACCACAAACTCTGGCATGTGTACCAACTGTATGCTGTCACTGAGTTTAGCACAGTTGCCCACAGATGTGTGCTGCAAACTCCTGAAGAGTAGACAGTTTTAGATGATAATTCCACACCACGGAGGCAGGGGTATTCAGTGGACAAAACCCCTAAGGAAACACATCACTGTGCTGAAACTGGGCTATTCATATTGTTTTGTTGTTACTAAGACTCAAGGGCATGATTCACCAAAGTGTTCTCATATGCAAACCAGGCTCTTATTCTATAATTTAATTTCCTGTTCAGTACCTCTAAGGTCTTTCATCTGTAGAATGACAGCTCTTTCTCAATTGTGTTTAATATTCTGCCCATCTTTGAAAAAGATTACTTGACTCATTTAAGACATGACAAAGCTGCTGTTTATTTAGATTCTCACTGCCACTACTGCCTGTACAGAAATTTGAGTCTTTTGAAATTTTTTTGAATCCGGTGACCCATTCAGTTTGACCTCTTAGGGTGGGATAAATCTTTTGCAAGAAACACTGAAATAATTGATTGTCTCACATTGACCAAATTGAAGACTGCTTGGGCAGAAGGGAAAGTCACAATCTGACAGCGATCGTCAAGAATTTACTTGAGAAACTGACCAAATGTCTAATTTAATTGCAATTAGGAAGACACTTAATCATGGAGTCCCCAAAACCAGCTGCCTGTGCATGTTCCTGTTTCAAAGCAGTCAGGGAGTATTTGAGGTTAATATTCTAGAACAGGGGTGTCAAACATGCTGCCCGGGGGCTGGATCAGGCCCCCGGAGGGTTTCTCTCAGGCCCGCAGTGGAACTGGCTGTCTTCTGCTTCTTCTTACAGTTCTGCTGCTGCTGCCTCATCGTAGGTTTGCAGCTTACAGATACACACCTGAACAGCATATTCAAGATTGCAATAACACAGACATTTTGATGCAGTAATTCAGAGCAAGAGGTGTCAGTTATCAAACACTGTTAAATAAACAAAATATTGCAAGAGTGCTAATGTTTTAAGCATGCTTTTATTTTAAGTTAAAAAAAAACCTTTGTGTTTGTGTCCTTTATAAAGTTTATATCTCCACTACCTGGCATTACATTTTATGACACACATGGCCCAGCCCAACAAGGTCTCATTTATGTCAGATCCGGCCCTCATAACAAATGAGTTCGACACCCCTGTTCTAGAATATCTTGAGCCTGTGTGTACATAGTTGGCTGAATGCTTAACTGAGCATGTGCAGAATCTTGTTTATCATTCTGAGTTGAAGAATGTTGCACAGGAAATGGTGCTTGACTCATAATGTAGCCAACCATTACGAGCTGGACCAATTTCTGTACTAAACTGCACAAATTCATAATGACCTAAAATTAGAACTGTTCCCTTCTGCTATTCTTGCAGTACCTATGGTCACCACATGGGGGAGATCCCACAATGCCGTCTCTGCCTTGTGACTTGTAACTTTTTTTTTTTTTGGCTAACAGTGGTTTGCTCTCCCTAAGCGTACTTACTCTCATTTGAGCTGCAGATGGAAGCACTGCAGGAGGTCTTGGAGAAGCTGAGGAGCAGCCGGCTGCTGCCACCGCTTGAAAAGAAGTTAGGGTGGGTGCCTTCGGTAAGCAGCATGGAGTGGGCAGGGGTCCGCTTTGGCTTTCTGTGGTTCATTTAGGGCTGTCCCTAATACGGCGGCTTTGCAGGATGGACTCTAGTCTATGAGCCCCTCCCCAGGCTCTACCCCTCAAACTTCCAGGCATTTCCCCACCCAGAGCGGGCTTGATGACTGCTGCAGCTCCACAACCCATTTACTCCAAGAGGAGCCGTAGTTTTCTTTTAATCAATAGAATTATTGTGGGTTACCCACCATGCAGATCATAATGTAAGAGATCAATGGCTTCGGCCCCGGAGGATTTGCTGGAAGTCCCTACAGCATCCAGCTACAAGGGTCATCACAAGCAGTGCTCCCTCTAAGCTGTGGAGTCTTGTGAGCAAAAATTCTACTCTGTGAGCTACTGGCGTTAAAGTTGTGAGCGAGCGATTTGGCTGCGGCATCAATCAGTTTGCTCTGGAGCCCTCCTTCCTGAGCTAAGGCAAAAAACTGAGCTAGCTCACACTAACTCAGCTTAGAGAGAACACGTGAACATTCCCGTCGTCGGCTTGCCTGGCGGCTGTTTTGGGTGGGCCACACCCCTCCTGGCTCCTTAGTAGTCTCTCCTTGACGCTGGAGAGAGGCTCTTCCCCAGTGCCTACGTCCTTAGCTTTGCTGTCTCTGTCCCTCTCTGAACTCTGCCGGCATCTCTTCTTCCAAGGCTGGTTTTCTCCTCCTTCCACATGGCCGTCCCCTCTCCCCCTTTCTTCTTCTTGCCCCCCCGGCACTCTAGGCGAATGCCTAGTTCGCCTAGTGGGTGAGCCGGCCCTGTCCTGTCGGCTGTTTTGGGTGGGCCACACTCCTCCTGGCTGCTTAGTAGTCTCTCCTTGATGCTGGAGAGAGGCACTTCCCCAGTGCCTACGTCCTTAGCTTTGCCGTCTCTGTCCCTCTCTGAACTCTGCTGGCATCTCTTCTTCCAAGGCTGGTTTTCTCCTCCTTCCACATGGCCGTCCCCTCTCCCCCTTTCTTCTTCTTGCCCCCTGCCGTCAGTCCAGCCCCCAGCGGTTCTCTTGCCTCTGTTCAATGCCTTGCCTGCTCTTGTGGGCCCCACCCCCCCTTGTCAGCAGGCTGTGGCTGGTCTGCTGCTGACACGTAGCCTTACAGTAAAACCCCGTGCATGTTTATTCAGAAGTTAAGTCATACCAAGTTCAATTATTTTCTAAGTATTTAAGTACAGGATTGTAATTTAGAACACATTGAGCCGTACTATAATGAACCATCCTATAATGATAGGCAATTACGGGGTGGGAGGAAAGGAAAGGAGAGATGTTGCTACATTTAGTAAGCCAGCCCCAAGGGGACAGTGATTCATCAGGGAGAGGTATCAGATGGTAGGAGCAGTTTAGGCAGCAAGTTCCTCTCCTAGAATTTCCAAAAGGAAGGTGAGAGAGACCACACGTCTCTAATATGGAATGGGGTAGTTTGGTCATGTTCATCTCCCTCACGCAAAGGTGCTCACTCGGTTTCCCTCTAAGCTGTGGAGCCTTGCGAGCAAAAATTCTACTTTGCGAGCTCCTGGCATTCAAGGGGTGAGCGAGCGATTTGGCTACTGCCTAAATTACTTTGCTCTGGAGCCATATTTCCTGAGCTAGGATAAAAATGTGTGAGCCGGAGGCTAAAAAACTGTGAGCTGGCTCACACTGACTCAGCTTAGAGGGAACCAGGGCTATTTTGGAGCAGGAACGTACAGGAACGGAGGTCCGTCTGGCTTCAGAGTTGGCCACGCCCACTACAGCTAAAACCTCAGCGTGTGTGGCTACAGAGGAAAGGCCTGGAGAGCGGACCCCTTCCTAGTGACTCCGAGGCGGGCGGGCCAGGGGCCCCCGGAAGGCTTGGGGAAGCATTTAAATACCTCCCCCTGTCTTCCCTGGTCTGTCTAAGGGCCGGCTTGCCTGGGCTCCTCGCAAGGAAGTCCAAACAGAAGAATAATCTTATTTCAAGAGTTCTTGCATTTGTGGACTTCATGTATTTCTACTTTATTCTAGGACTGACCATACAGTATTAGTGATGGTTGTAACGGACTTTTCTAAATTTTCTATGAAGAACTTCATATGCCAATGATTGGGACAGCATATAAATGTCGTAGTCATAGAAGTATTAACCACATTGACTTTTTGTACACAGGCACTTTATTACTTTAAATTTATTCTTTATAATATCATATATGATTTTCACAATTTCTGAATTTGTTCTGGCTTAAACGTATTTTCCAGCATACAGGCATCTTACTTCCAGTCACACAGTGGAAATCCTTGTGCTGTGGCGGGCAGCTGCTGCCAATACATTTTTTTTTTGCATTTGCACAGCCAATAAGAAGCCCTGCAGGGCAAAAAAAATCTTACCCGGCCCCACCCAGTTTCTGAAACACTTAGGTGGCAAGAAAGGTGATGGCAGTCACCATGGCACCACTTTGGGAACCCCTGGACTAAAACCCCGCCTTAAGAAGTACAAGGGCTCCAAAAGTGTACCAAGACTGCCACCATGCTGGTGAATGGCCTGGCTGTCCAGCCTGCCTTGGGGATGCTCCACCCACAAGCCTGTCTCAAATTTAACTAAATCACGAGAATCACAGAATCAAACACATCCCTTTGAGGTTTGATCATTTCTATGGGGCATCTGGTAGTGGGGGGAAAGAGGCCTTGCCCCCAATGTTTGGGGTAGTGGTTAAGTGCGTGGACTCTAATCTGGGAGAACAGGGTTTGATTCCCCACTCTTCCACTTGCAGCTGCTGGATGACCTTGGGCAAGCCATAGTTCTGTTACAGCTGTTCTCTCAAGGGCAGTTCTGGAAAGAGCTCTCTCAGCCCCACAGGGTGTTGTGGGGAGGGGAAGGGAAAGGAGTTTGTAAGCTGCTTTGAGACTCCTTCGGGTAGTGAAGGGTGGGGTATAAATCCAATCTCCTCTCTTCTCTCAATGTATACCTGTAACCCTTTCCCTCCTTACAGTGTGATGCAGGTGAATCGTGCGCAGTGCGGAAAGGGTCTCGCATCGGCAAACTTTGCAATTGCCCCCGCCGAACATCATGCAACATGTACATCTTGAAGTGCTTGTGAGGACACCGGCAAGGGGCGTGTGAGGGCCTGTATCTTGGATGGAACCTTGATGCACCGCCCCAGGTGAGGAGAAGCTTCATTAAGAAACTTCCTCCAGTCCACACCCCCCCACCTCTGCTCCAACTTAGCGATGTGCTGGGAGTTCTGTGGCTAAATCCTCAGCCTTTTAAAACAATTCTCATGCCTTTGGAGCCTGCGTGTGCCTGAAAATGGAATTTTAAAAAACCTGCTGGGATTCCAGCCACAGAACAGGTGGTATGGCCCCAAGAGGAAAAACATCAAGCCTTAGGGAATGTTCCACTGCCTTCTGGGAAACTCCAGGACTGCCATATGAACACCCAGTTCGCCAGGGATGCAGAGTCTACGATAGGCCAAGGAAGCCCAAACACTAGTGCCCACTGAGATGCTTGCTAGACATTACAAAAAAAACACACCTCTGAATCAACGTATATGTATCTGCGGAAGTTTGATAGAGGACCTTCCCCATTATGTTTTAAACTGTCCTCTATATCTGGAGCCTAGGGAAAATGTTCTTGGCCAACATTTTATCTAGTGTTTATTTCTCATCTGACTCCATTAAATTAGCTTATATGCTATTAGACACTGCTCCCTCTAAGCTGTGGAGTCTTGTGAGCAGGGGTCATTTAGTAGAAAAAGAGGTGCAGGAGCTCATTAGCATAACTTATTTGCATATGCCACACCCCCTCACATCACCGGAAGTGTGTCAGAAGGCAACACCCACCGCTCAGGCTCCACTGGACTGTTTTGGATTGCTAGTTGGAGTCTAAAACACTGTGAGCTAGCTCACACTCACTCAGCTTAGAGGGAACACTGGACACTGACCCTTTTATATCTAGTAGGATGGCACGTTTTGCTCTGGCAGCAAAGATGATCAGAGCAAATCTGGTAAGAAAACACATAAACAACTGACCGATTGAAACTGTTAGATTTTAGGGATGTATACATTTTACATTGTGTTTGTATATTTCTGATTTTATTGCAAATGGATTGTAAAGGCCTATGGCCATATACAATAAACGTACTCTACGAGGGGCGGGTGAGAGGATGGTTGCAATGTTCCCGTTAAGCTGTGGGGTCCTGTGAGCAAAAATTCTACTTTGTGAGCTACTGGCATTGAAGTGGTGAGCAAGCAATATGGCTAGTGCATAAATTAGCTTGCTCTGGAGCCATCCTTCCTGAGCTAAGACAAAAAATGTGTGAGCCGGAGGCTGAAAAACTGTGAGCTAGCTCACACTAACTCAGCTTAGAGGGAACACTGGTTAGGAGCCCCCTGCCCCTGGCTCAGAATACACAGATTATATACCCAGGAGATTTGCTAAACGTGAATGAACAAAATTGCTGTTAAACCTCATGCATTTGCAATACCTATCAATGTAGCACAGGAAGTATGTAGTACTGGAAGGGACCATAGAGGTCATGTAGTCCGACCGCAGATTTGGCACAGGAACCCAAAAGTATTCCTGAGAGATGGTTACTGGGTTCTTTTTAGGTGCTCTGTTGGCACCTTTTGCTGCAAAATGGATGCAAGAGCAAAATTCAGTTCAGGAGCAGTTCCCTGGTCTGGGACACATGATGAGCTAAGTGCCTCCCAAGAGGCCATGGAAAGCGAAGAATGGCAGCTGCCACCTAGGGAGGAAGCTCCATTCTGTGTTTGTTCAGGGGCTGCAACTGCAGAGGTGTTTGCAGTGGCTCATCCACAAAGGGGCTTTTTGTGAAGTTTCTTCCACCAACTGCTGTTTCCCCTGCCGGAGCGCTTAGTGTTTGGTTTTTTAAACATCAGTAATGTGTTCTAATGCTAGAGCACTTAATGGTTTTTTTAAAGAGCTCTCTGGTGGCCAAGCAAGAAAAACAGTAGACACAAGAGCGCCCAGAAGCTAAATGTCAGTGAGGTGAGAAGAACCTTGGAAGATGTGTACCTTCCTATTCAGATGGTACAGTGTGTACTTGGAGTGTGCTCTTCCCGCAGAGATCAGAGCAAAGCAGGTTTGGGAATGAGCACCCCGGGGGGAGAAGATAACTGGCGCACACTGTTGTAAAAGCTGTTCTAAGAAATACACATGCCAGTTCAGATACAAGTGGGGAAAACACAGTACAGGAACGGCTTCAGATGGCCCAAATGGGTACAGATAAGCCAATTTCTAGTCACTACTTAAAAGCTATAGCCACAAAGCAGTATCTTTTAGGGGGGGAAGGGTTATTTGGGATTTTGTTCTGTATGTTTTAAATTGTGATTGATGAGCCACCTGGGGCTATGGTGCAGGATAAGTATTTTTAATTCATACCGTACATAATGGCAGTAGTATGTCCTCCTTACCCCTTGCCCAAATTGAGTTCAGGAGGGCCTACAAGATCATGCAACTTTCTCTGTGGTTAGAAATCCTAAGAGGAAAGGGGGAAAGCAGGTGACTAACACAGGGCAAAAAGTGCAGCAGGGTGTAGAAAACACCACCCCATGCCAGCTTTTACCCATGAGATGTTGGGCAGAAGACATCTAACCATTCTCCCTTTTGTATTTTCAGCTTAAACCCCCACCCCCCCACCCCGATGGAGTGGAAACTCTTCAGAAACACCCCTTGTGGATCTGTGCCTCTGATGACATTGGGATTCTACATCCGCTGAACCTAGAAAAATGGCCACCAAATTCCTGTAGGCTGTCTTGCCCGTGGGGCAGACGGAGAATAAAATTTCCGATTAGCGCTGGGGAGTCTCGTGCTGGTTGTCACGAAAGCTTGTCTCCTCAACACACGCACACAAAAAGTGGCACAAAAGATTTGGCTCCAGGGCCCTGACTTGAAGAATTTGTGGATGGGCAAATGGGACAGTTTATTCAGGGGTCGTTTCGTAGAAAAAGAGCTAGGGGAACTCATCAGCATAACTCATTAGCATATGCCACACCCCCTGACATCACCGGAAATGTGTCATAAGGCCACACCCACCACTCAGTTAGTCTTAGTCTTAAAGGTTAGTCTTAAAGGTGCTATTTGAACTCTTGGACTATTTTGCAGCAACAGACTAACACAGCTACCTCGGGGAAGCTCCTGGATGGGGCTGGGAGTCCTTGCAGAGGCCACGTGGAGTGGCCTCGGCCAGGCAGAGGGGGAGGACGCCAACTTACCCTCCTGCTTCTTCCTCCTTCTGCAACAGAATGAGGCTGGAAGCAGGGGGTGGCCGGAAGAAGGGGCGGGGCTTCGTCATGTGCCCCGCCCCCTGCACCTCACCCGGGGGAACTGCGATCCCCCCCGAATCGACCTCTGAGTTTATTTCATGTAAACTCCCCTCTCACCCCATGGGGACCTCAAGTGACTTAGACTTCCCAGCCTCCACGTGGGGCCTGGAGATCGCCTGGAATCACAAGTCATCTCCAGATAACAGATCAGTTCCTCTAGAGAAGATGGCTGCTCCGGAGGGTGGACACTACGGCCGTATACCCTGCTGAGGTCCCTCCCCTCCCCAAACCCCGCCCTTCCTCAGGCTCCACCCCCAAAGCTCCAGGAATTTTCCAACTTCCTACATCATTCTCCTCTCCTTCATTTTATTCCCACACCAACCCTGTGAGGTCGGTTAGGCTGAGTGTGTGACTGGCCCAAGAGGCATTAAGTAATCTTTATCAAGGAATGAAGATAGGGATATATTCAAATTGAGGAAGGGGGGAGCAGGAAAGGACAGGGAATGCTCTGAAGGCCTCAGCCTCAGGAATGTACATAGCAACATCCTCTGCAGTCTGTCAAATGAAGTTACAATTTCCCTCCGATCTGGCTTTTGTTGTTGCTGCAGCTGTAGAGTAGCAGCATTCACCCCTACCCAAGAGAGAAGGGCAGCTTTTTTTTTTTGATGGCGGTGTGGCTCAGTGGTAGGGATTCTGCTTCAAGGGGAGAAAGGTCCTACGTTCAAACTTCTGCACCCCCAGTTTCAAAAAAATCTATCAAGTGATATCAAAGATCTTGACCTGAGACCCGGGAGAATCAATGGCAGCCAATCAGAGTAGATGATAGTGACTGTCAGGGCTATTTTT